TGGCCGCTAATGACGTCAGAGTGACGTCATTTTTGCCATTTTCGACCCAAAAAAAGGTTTCGCGGGAAGAGCTGTCAAGCCTACAGCTTTAGAGATGCAGAAAAATGTTTCAGACATAAAAGGTGTGGAATCAAGAGGGCTACAAAACAGTTATTTCGGTTTTTCGAATTTATTGGATTTTGACCCCCAAAACTCAAAAAATAGATTTTTTGAATATAATAGCCGAAAAATCCAAAGAGTTTTTTGAATTTCGAAAAAACCGGAATATATGTGATAGTCCCTACCGCCTTCTATCTACATACCAAATTTGAGATCGATACCTCTTTTTTTGGCCAAGTTATAGCGAAAAAAACTGTTCAAAATTGATGACGTAAAATTTTCAAACTCAATTTTTTAGCGATTCTAGACCTCGTAGCGCTAAACAAAGACCACCATTAGACTCCCCGTGACGAGCTGCATCGAATCGATACCCATTTTATGCAAAAATGTCAACTTTGAAATTTGACCTTTTTTGACCTGACCTTGACCTGACCTCCTTTAGAAAGTGACCTAAACCGTACCTGATGGTCTTATAACCAACACCATTGAGTTGGAAATGAAAAACTGGCCATAAAACATGCATCGCATAACCTTAGTAAAGTTGGGCTCATGTGGTGACCCTTGGTGACCTTTGGTGACCTGACCTGTGACCTGACCTGGTATGACCAGTGACCTCTAATAGCAACATATGTACTAGACAACTGACGCCTTATCGCTGATTTTCGACAAAATCCGTTTTACTTGGTGTTATAGCGCTTTCCCTAGAAGCCCCGTGAACGGTGAAGCATTTTATCTTTGACCTGACCTGTGACGTCATCGGTGACCCCGAGGTCAATGAAATTTGGTTTCCCTCGACAAATTTGACAGGGCTATCGAACGCCGTTTGAATTTTCCGGATCCGTTCAGTAGTTTCGGAGATACGGGGGGCAAAAAAGTGCCCCCCCCAACCGCGCGGAAGGTGGCTGGTAGGCCCACCGCCTGCCGGGTTAAGAGGTCTGCGGTGTCTTCAGGAGCCATGTGGAGTCCTCAGAGACCAGCAAGGTACTCTCAGACGCCGGTGGGAGCCCTCAGAGTCGTCGGTGCGGGGCCCTCAAAAGTCACCGGTGAGTGGCCGTCCGATGCGAAGGTCCCGTCTTAGGCCGTCAGAGGCTCCGGCGTTGAGCCCTCAGAGCCGCCGATATAGGTATGGCCTTAAGAAGCACTGGTTTGGGCCTTTGGAACTTCATTCAGGGGTGTCGGTTGAACTCAGAGGTGGCAGTGTGCCCGCAGTGTGGGGCCCTCAGCTGGGCACCGCTTTGGGGCTTTCACAGCCGCCGGTGAGGGCCCTCGCAGACGCCGTTGTGGGGGCCTTCAACCATTGGTTTAGGGGGTCATCACAGGCGTGTGTGGAACCCTTTGAGCTGCTGGTCGCTGATAGGCCGGTAAGGGCCCTCAAAGGCCGGCAAGTAGCCCTCAGAGGTCGCCAATGGGCCCGGAGAGGCCGGCAAGGGGCCCTCAAATGCCGACAAGGAACAATAAAAAGCCGGTGTGTGGCTCTTATGGAGAGAAGTGTGGCTATTGTGTGGCTATTCGGAGCACATAAGGTGTTCTTTCGAGCCCTGTGGGGCCCTTTTGAGTCGAAAATGCCAGCGTGGACCCTCAGCCGCCAATTGGCGTCGCAGGGCCCCTCGGGCCCGAGAGGCCCCCTATTCCGATGGAGGCACGTGCCCCCTGCCCCCCCCCCTCCGGGTGCAGATAGAGAATGCAATCGGCGGTGCGGGACACAATTGCAATCGTTCCTTCTCCCGTCGCGAGGTCGCCCATCCGACCCATATATCCCAAGATTGTCAACCCTGGGGCTCGGGTCGGCAATGTATCGCCATCGGCAAGGAAATCAGCTTTAGGTGGGTAAAAAAGTTAGTAAGAGTCATTAGTTGTCGTTACGTTCAGTAATAGTAACGATAAAAAGCCAACTGTACCCGACGTACGGCTTGGAGACGGGCGCCGCGCGGTATCCACCAGTGACGTCACGCTAATGCTTAGCGACCGGTCCATTGGAAATTGCGGGATGATTCTACCTCTCTTATACGGCCTTGCCTTGAGGCATGTAAAATTTGAAAAGTGAACCGAGGTCATCAAAGGTCAATGAAACGATGTAAAGATGTCAGGGTCAGGTTCAAGGTCAACCTAGGTCATCTAAAACATTGCGTTTTAGGCAAGCTGAATTTACTTTTCGTTAACCCGCGCCGGGCCGGGGGGGTGTTTGAACACCCCCCTTGTGGTTTTTGGCACACCTGTTTGTGCATCTTTTCCGCACATGTTGTGAAAATTTCAGACCCAGGTCACCTTAGGTCAGGTCACCAGGTCACGCCAAGTGACCTCACCTCAGAAAAAATAAGAATGCTCGTCATAGCTACACCGACTGAACGATTGCCTTGAAACTTTCAGAGATTGATTAGAGCAATACTATCTATAAAATGTATATCTCGGAATTTTGATATCTGTGACCTAAGGTCAGGTCAATTTTGCGGCCTCTCCATTATAGGTATGTCAATGGGAGAAAATTGAAGAGCGTCTGTTTTGCACGAACGCTATTCTAGACACGCTCAAACATCGAGATGTAGGTAAAATAGACACACTGAACCAGAAAATGGCAACTGTGACCCCTCGTTATGTCCCCGAGGTCATCTCAGGTCACGAACAGAATCTAACAGTTTTTCGATGATAACTTCTGATAGAGGCGTGCTAGAGCGCTGAAAACGCCTTAGATGTGTTCGGCTCGACGTTGCGGATCGACTGATATGCTACATGACCTTTTCCGGTCAGGTCATGACCTTGACCTGAGGTCAAATTTTCAAGTTGACTTTTCAAGGTCAAATTATAGTTCATTCGACGCGCCTTGACGAGAGGAACACGATGCTGGCAAAAGTAATGTCATAGCTCTTTTGAGTCAAAAGTTATTGCCGAACAAACGTTTTTCGTAAAAACGGCTATTTTTGGAGTTTTTGCCCTCTGGAGGCTAAACCGTTGACCTGAGGTCAAATCTGAGAACATTATTCAGAAAGGTCTGTAAAAGGGCTATCGAATGCGCTTTTTTGCGGCGCCGTAGCTCTATCGGTTCCCGAGATAGCCGTTGGCAGTTTCCAAAATGTTGAAATAGTCAACATTTTACCTTTGGTGACCTCTGGTGACCTGACCTTTGACCTGACCCAAAAAATGACGGAAGTGTTTTCGTCCTTATTTTTGATGTTCTTTCGATTGCCGCTTACCGCGTGTCGCTACGTGGCCCAGGAGCCGAGTTAGAAGGGGGGGGGGGTGTTCAGACACCCCCCCGCGGCCCGGCGCGGAATCTCAGAGCACCGGCCCGGCGCGGGTTAACCCTATTCCTGGCGGGCTCCGCCGGGACAAGAAACTGGCGGGGGGGGCCGATTCGGCCCCCCCCCTGAGATCTCGAGAACGAAGCAAGATAGCGACAAGCGGTAAACGGCATCGGATGCGCACGGCCAAGATCTACAATTTTTACAAAGGTCATTTTCAGGTCAGGTCAAAGATGACGTCACAGGGGTCGAAAAAGTCAAAATGGCGGCACTAGATATGGAGAGAGTTTTTCTCGAATAACTTTCGAATTAGTCAAGATAGGAACAAACTAAGGGCAGCATCGTGATCCTCTCGTCAATCCGCATCGAATGATATATATGTTGACCTCGAAAGGTCAAGGTCAAAGGTTGACCTCAGGTCACGTGACCTCGAGGTCATCATGTATATCATTCGATGCGTCTTGACGAGCTGAACACAATGAGACCATCCACGCGTCTGTATCTTGTTCCTGTACGGAGTTATTTGCCAAAAACCTTTGGTGACCTTTGATGACGTCACATGACCTCACAGCTGCCCAACAGCAAAACAGACCTCAAGGTAGTGAAGGTTGATCGTATATGAAGTCATGTATGGTATATGGGGCCATTCCGACCCGTTTTAGTGGTAAAAACAGGGAGTTGATTTTTCCCCCATTGACTTATAATTGGGAGGTCGCGAAATTGACCTGACCTTAGGTCACCGATATCAAAATTCCGAGATATACAAATTGCACATACTGGTACCCTAACTAAACCCTGAAGAGAAGAAATTGATCGGTCAAAAACTCTAGCTCTGGCGTGATTGCAAACTTTTCTGAGGTAGGGTCACCAAACCGCCTCTGGTGACCTGACCTGAGGTCAGATCAACTCAAAATTTTCAGACATGTTGCGTAGAAGCCTTTTAGGAAAAGTCAGAAAATTTGAGCTTCCTAGCTCAACGCGTTTGGGAGAAATAACCAAAAAACCTCAGGGGGGGGCTCCTGAGGCCCCCCCCCCTCGCCAGGAATAGGGTTAAGTTTCTTTGACTGCATTTTTGGTAAAAGCTTCTCAATTCATGTTCTCATGTAACAGGGACACAAACCAATCGGTGCACACATCACTATACACAGACACAAACACAGACATACAAACACATATCATTGACCCTGACCTAAGCTGACCTAAGACCCCAGTCAGTAAAAACTTAGTCGGATAGTGTAACAAAGAGCTGTTCTAGCTGGCTTGGCACCAATACTGCAGCGTCATCGGTATATGATGGGCACTGCACGTGATATTCCAACGGTGACCCCATACAGCAACATTTTTTAGTTTGACCTGACCTGGAAGGTCAATGACTGCACATTGAGGTAAAATTGGATACCATTGGATTTGCCGCTTCCAAAAGAATCTGTTGGTTTTTACCGCGAAACTCTATCTCTAGCAGGAACGAAATGGCGCGGGGGTATAGCACCCCCTCCCCCATGTGCGCTCTACGGTGGAAAAATGGCATGCGTGGGCGAGGGTTAAAAAACTAACCCCGACCACTCTAAGTAGGTACCCTGTCCACCGACTGCCGTCCTGTGTTCTTATCAAACATCATGGGCTAGATGGCGATAGTAATGACGCTGATATTGAACAGTTTTAGTCATGTACAGTACCGCGAGTCAGCGTCTTATTTGTTACATTATCACCGTGATGCACGATGCAGTGTTCATTATTTGAATAAATCGTAAAAATAAAAAAAAAAATCACTATTTGAACAAATCGTAACAAATCGAAAAAATAAATGCATAAAAAAATGTTGAGCGAAGTAACTAGATTTTGTAACTCTCTTGCCCATGCTAATAAATGGCATGCCATAACACATGGTCTTTTACCTTGTACTGTGAATAGTGATCCAGTTTTCTTTCGATTTGGTCGCCTATCGACCGTCCTCCCAGCGTGTGACTTCTGCCTGACCTGCTGTGTTCCAGACTCGCCACAGGGTGACCGCGACGGAGAGATCGAAGACGAGGAGCAGCACTGCGATGAGGAGGAGCAGCCATCAGAGGGTCCGGCTCGCCCACACGGGCAGAGGTGGCAGCTGATTGAACAGCAACATCAGCAGCGGTGGAAGGAGCTGGAGCTACAACATCAGCAGCTATGGCAGGAGTTGGAACACCCAGGTCACGAAGAAAGAGTGAGGATGGACAAAGAGCATGAAGAGGAGCGTCGACATCTGGAGCAGAAACACGGTACGGAGTGGCAGAACCTGGAAGAACGTCACTATGAGGAGCGTATTGCGATTCATCAGCAGCACAGCGAGGACACTGGATGCCTGAACATGCCGACTGAGGACCAGTTAAGGCAGCTGGATTGCTCCCACCAACAGCAGTGGGAAAATCTCCAGCACACACTACAGCAGCAGTGGCAAGAGCTGGAGCAGAGACACCAGAGAGAGTCACGAGAGCTGGAGGAGAGACACCCGAACACAGGCTCTGAAGAGAAGAAGATTCGGCTGCTGGAGGAGTGCAGCAACAGACGTCACGAGCTGCAGGAGGAGCTGCAGAAGGAGCTGGAGAAGGAGTTGGAGAGGCAGAAAAAGGAGGAGTTGAAGGAGGAGCTAAAAAATGAGCTAAGGGATGAGCTAAGGAAGGAGCTAAGGGAGGAACTGAAGAAAGAGCTAAAGGAGGAGTTAAGAGAGGAGCTGAAAAAGATGCTTTGTGAGGAGCTTCAGCAGCAGCAGTGCCCTGCTGAAGGTGAGTGACAGCCTCCGTTGTCAGATGATTTTTCAGCGCTCATTGCCAGAAAATGATTGCCTCAAGTAAGTAACTCTGAATATGTAATACATCTGCCCTTAGCTCCTCCTGACCAGCCCTGAATTTTGTTGGATCCAACATGAACTTTGTCTGAGCCGCACTGACCTGTGACTGACCCTCCCTGACCTGTGATTGACCCTCCCTGACCTCTGCCTGACCCGGCGTGTTGCAGACCGGCCGCCGAGGGCCGTCGGAGGCGAGGCCAGTGGTGATCAGCGGCGCGGCTCCGACCTCCGTCCCGCCCCCCGGACGGAGGCGTGTCCGGCCCGTCCGGCCGGCAAGCGGCGGCACCAGGAGCCGCCGGCAGCGGACGCCGGCCAGCCGCCGGCCGCCAAGCGGGCTCGTCCGGACGTGTCAGACGGCCGGCAGTGACGGGGCCGAGGCGGCGAGCCGATGTGTCGGCCAGCTGAGCGGCGCCATGGACACTGACCGCCCCGTGAGTATAGGCTCTGAAACAAACGGTATACGGTAAATGACGTGTTATTAGTTGGTCAGTCACTGAGCGGCACCATGGACACTGACCGCCCCGTGAGTATAGGCTCTGAAACAAACGGTATGCGGTAAATGACGTGTTATTAGTTTTCAGTCACTGAGCGGCGCCATGGACACTGACCGCCGTGAGTATAGGCTCTGAAACAAACGGTATGCGGTAAATGACGTGTTATTTGTTGGTCAGTCACTGAGCGGCGCCATGGACACTGACCGCCCCGTGAGTATAGGCTCTGAAACAAACGGTATACGGTCAATGACGTGTTATTTGTTGGTCAGTCACTGAGCGGCGCCATGGACACTGACCGCCCCGTGAGTATAGGCTCTGAAACAAACGGTATACGGTAAATGACGTGTTATTTGTTGGTCAGTCTCAGTGACGGGCAGAGCGATACTGAATGGCCGGTCCGGACCTGGCTGTTTACTCAGTCGGACCAGCAGTTCGGGTGGGGGAGTGACGTCACACCACTGGCAGACCCGGTGTGGGATAGCGGTAGCGACACGGCGGGTGTGGTAGTGACGTCACACCACTGTCAGACCCGGTGTGGGATAGCGGTAGCGACACGGCGGGTGTGGGAGTGACGTCACACCACTGTCAGACCCGGTGTGGGATAGCGGTAGCGACACGGCGGGTGTGGGAGTGACGTCACACCACTGTCAGACCCGGTGTGGGATAGCGGTAGCGACACGGCGGGTGTGGGAGTGACGTGTGGGAGTGACGTCACACCACTGTCAGACCCGGTGTGGGATAGCGGTAGCGACACGGCGGGTGTGGGAGTAACGTCACACCACTGTCAGACCCGGTGTGGGATAGCGGTAGCGACACGGCGGGTGTGGGAGTGACGTCACACCACTGTCAGACCCGGTGTGGGATAGCGGTAGCGACACGGTGGGTGTGGGAGTGACGTCACACCACTGTCAGACCTGGTGTGGGATAGCGGTAGCGACACGGCGGGTGTGGGAGTGACGTCACACCACTGTCAGACCCGGTGTGGGATAGCGGTAGCGACACGGCGGGTGTGGGAGTGACGTCACACCACTGTCAGACCCGGTGTGGGATAGCGGTAGCGACACGGCGGGTGTGGGAGTGACGTCACACCACTGTCAGACCCGGTGTGGGATAGCGGTAGCGACACGGCGGGTGTGGGAGTGACGTCACACCACTGTCAGACCCGGTGTGGGATAGCGGTAGCGACACGGCGGGTGTGGGAGTGACGTCACACCACTGTCAGACCCGGTGTGGGATAGCGGTAGCGACACGGCGGGTGTGGGAGTGACGTCACACCTCTGTCAGACGCGGTGTGGGATAGCGGTAGCGACACGGCGGGTGTGGCTGTCAATATCAGGGGACCTAAAACTGGACACTGGTGTTTCAGATCACCACAGACGTCACCATCACCAGCAGTGACAGCACCACCGGCACCACCGGCAGGCGTGAGTACACCAACGGCAGTCGAGTCCAGCTTCATGGCTTCCGAAACCACTATCAAGTCAGCTGCCATTGACTTAGAGTTACCGTAAATGATAATACAGCTACTATAAGACAATGTATGATGTTATTTTTACAGTTTATCTGCTGACTCAAAATATTTGTGGTTGTAATTTCGCTTCTTTAGCGCTGTATCTAAGATATAAACATCAAAGACCACATTAATAACTAGTGCCTTGTATTTCAGCTCCACCATCACCACCGTCTCCAGTATGACCATCACCATCACCATCACCATCACCAGCACCACCGGCTCCGGGAACAAACACGTCACCAGCATGCCCGTAAGTGTCTAATCATGAACTTACAATGAACACATGTAAAAGGTTTTCCTGTCGTCCTAATTTTGACCAAACTATTTGTCTTTTACGTCTTGTCCCTATTGTGTGTAACTCGCTGATCTAAAAACGTACTAACTGCTTTCAGATCATCTACCAGCACCACCATCACCATCACCGCCACCAGCACCACCGGCTCCGGGACCCAGCCCGCCACCAGTCTCCGTGAGTACAGACGGGATGTCCGGGCAGACTGTTGCCTGTTGCTTGTCTCTAGGAAAAAAAAACATTTGACGTTGCTGAATGATGCAGAAACTATAAGAAACTAACAATGAAAATAAGAATAAAAGCAGTGAAATATTTATTTTTTTCATTGTCTTCGTTAGGTACATTTATATTTATTCGGTCTATCAAACTGTCAGTTCCCACTCTTCTTTGATCTTACCAATAAATAGTCCTTTACTTGGCATGAAAAACACCATGAACGTATTTTTTCAGGTATATATGTTACAGGGAGTTTGAGAAATCCGTGAGTTTGCAAACTCCCTAGTGAAACTCCCTGACCCATCAGTGAGTTTGCAAACTCACTAGGGAGTTTACAAATTCACTAGGGAGTTTGCAAACTCACTGACCGGTCAGGGAGTTTGAGAAATTTCAGAGTGATTGGGCCAAATAAAAACAAGTGTGCAGCATGTGGGTGGCATACGTGCCGTCCGTGATGTTAAAACAAAGGAGGCTAGCTCTAAGGCCTTGCACGCTGACAAAAAGCTTATAGATCATATGCACACCATAAATACCTTTTTTATTTTAAACTGTTCAGTGATTTACCCATGCATGTACCGCCGCTTTATTTAGTTATATATTTATTTAGTTCACGTCCCAATAAGACCCGTTCCACTCAAGTGTGGCTATTCCAGAGTCAGGCTAAATATATCAAAGTAGAAACAGCTGACTGTTGGTCACTTATACTAAAGTACAGGCACACGCATCAATTCACGCCCATTCCCACTCCGCCATGGACGTGTCATCGAGAGACGGCGCTGCTGGCAGCCAGCCCAGCTGCGACTGGCGCACGCTGCTTGTTTGTTTTTGCTTTGTTGGGTTAGGCCCTTTCGGTCTGACAAGACCATTTCAGATTCGGACGAATGATAGGAATTATAGGGGGAGACATTGGTCTGGGCAGACACCCTATATGCAGAGTCGCCGGGGCTGAGCCCGTCCGAATTGACAGACCGACCAGCCCCCCCCCCCCAAGCACTCTTTGCACCCGGCTACGGGGTGCACTCCCTTGGGAGCAACGGTGCCGCTCCAAATGAGCAGCCCGCATGAGATAAAGGTGCCTGTCCAGCCCGGAGTGGGGGTTTCGGCGTGGACGAGAAGGATTTCAGTATCCTGATTCCTGAGGATGGAAACGACGGAACGGAGGAGCACGTTGCTCCGAACCTCCCTTTTACATAGCCGCAAGTAGCATTTTTTTTTCGGTAAAACAATGAAGGACCTGTAAGCTTTTTGTCAGCGTGCGACGGTTATATAGGCCGTACCACTAGTCGCTTTTGTTTTAACATCACGGACGGCACGTATGCCACCCTCATCTTACCACTGGCGGTCGCAGCCGCTAGCAAAAGGGGGGGCCAAAGTCACACTCGCGGGACATAACATTAATCCGTCACCGGGAGGGGGGGGGGGGTGATCGGCTAATTTTTTACGTCCACGAGGCGCCGCACAGTTGGCATTACTTATGCTTCATCCATCTCATTCTTGCGTGAAATCTTTGAGCTCAATTTAAGGCAAAATCACCAGTTCCATTTACCGTCTCACGGTGTGCCCACCGGTCGGGCCGCTGCACCGTCCATGACGACGGATCGGTGTAGCATAGGTATACTGGAAGGTCAGGCACGCGGATTCATGACCTTACCACTATAAAACAATTCGGAAAAGTACAGATACATCTTGCTAAAAAGTACAGATACCTCTTGCTTTGAACAAGCATGTGAAACCCAGAAAGCATTTTTAGACTATGACATTTACCCATATAGGCACCTAGTTGTGTGGCGGCGGGAGAGAGTAGGTACACCGACCTCTGGAGACCCCCACAGGTTCCGAGCTTTCAGAATTGGCATCTGAGGGCCGCGCGCGACTCCTGCGGGGCTTCGCGACGGCTCTGTTGGGGCTCACTCAACCTGCCTAGTCCTACTGCTAAAAAGACTGGCCATGAGCCCTAAGGACTTCATCAGTCTCTGCCAGCCCCAGGACCCACACCGGCTCATGGGGTCCCGACCTCGAAATATGAGGGAGTCAGCGCGGGACCATCAGGACGTTAAAGCAATCTCGATCAGGACCAACGTAAGGCTGTGCCGGAGACTGCGTGAGCCCTCTGATCTTCAGAAACCCGCCCATGTATGTTTTCATGTAGAGGCTAGTTTAGGGCCCTCAGAGACCAGTACAGGGCCTGCAAACTACAAAGGCCAGTAGTTTGAGACCATCAGAGACCGAGTTGGGAGGCTAATGTGGGTCCTTACTCATTACAGGCCAGCATGGGCCCTCAGAGGTCAACGTGGGGCCCTAAAAGACCGGCATGAGCCGTCGTTGGACCCCAGAGGCCAGCAGAGGGCCCTCAAAGGCCAAGATGGCCCCCCTCAGAGGCCAATGCAGACCCTTAGAGGCCGGCATCGGGTCTTCAGCAGCCAGTGCGGGGCCCTTATTGGCACCTAAAGGTTCGTCTTGGGACACCAGAGACAGAAATAAGGCCACCAGAGACCGGTGTGAGACCCTCAGACGCCGGTTGGGACCCCTGAGGCCGGTTAGGGGCCCTCATAGGCCAGATGTGGGGCCTCAGAGGTTGATGTAGGCTCTTAGCGGTCAACGTGGGCGCTTGACCGCCACTGAAGTTCCCTCAGAGGTCAGTGTAGGACGTTCAAAGACCGGGGTGGCCTTCCAGGTCAGGTCAAACTAAAAAATGTTGCTGTTTTGGGTCACCGCTGGATATCAAGTGCGCTGCTTATCAAATACCGATGACGATGCTGTTTTCTGGTGCCAAGCCAGCTAGAACCTCTTTGTCACACTACCCGACCAGAATTTTGCTGCTGAGGTCATTTCAGGTCAAGTTAGGTCAAGGTCAATTATATGTGTTTGTATGTCTGTGTGTGTCTGTGTGTATACTGATGTGTGCACCGATTGTTTTTGGGTCCATATTACATGAAATCATGATCTGAGAAGCTTTTACCAAAAATACAATCAAAAAACTTCACAAAAAGTAAATTCAGCTTGCCTAAAACGCAATTAACTTAGATGACCTAGGTTGACCTTGACCCTGACCTTGACCCCTGTACATCGTCGAACAACATGTTCCATGATAGGTGGGAGGTAAGACTGGCAAAAAAGGCCGAAATCAGGGTGTCAAAAGCTCACAAGGCCCATGGCAAACGCAAGATGTTGAGAATTGGCCATTTGGGTCATGACATGACCTGAAAAACAAGGTCATATCTCCGAAACCAAAAATCACAGAAACTTGAAATTTTCAGCAAACATCAAGAAAGGATAGACGAGCAGCTATGCGAAAAATCAGCTTTCTAGCTCTAAAAATGTTGAGTGCAGAGCAGAAAGACTACCTGGGGGGTGGCAACCACCCCCCCCCATGTGCGGGCGAGGGTTAACCCGCGCCCAGATGGGGTCTGCCGAGCAACGCGGTCTGAAGGGGGGGGGGGGCCATTTTGGCCCCCCCTCAGATCTCGAGAACCACGCAACATAGCGACAAGCGGTAAACGGTGTTGGATAGCCCCAGCGGGGAACTACCTTTTGACCGAATTTCATTGACCTCGGTCAAACCGATGACGTCACAGGTCAGGTCAAAGGTTGAATTTTCACCGTTTACAGGCATTTCAAGAAATGCGTTGTAAAATCGAGTAAAATGCATTTCATTGAAAATCATCGATGGATAAATGTTCTTCAAACACATATTTTGCTATTTGAGGTCACTGATACCAGGTCAGGTCACAGAGGTCAGGTCACTGGGGGGGTCACAATATGAAAGTGTCGTGTGATACATGTTTTATGGTTCATTTTACATGACAAATGCGATTATGTGGGTCAGACAGTCTTTAGGGCCAGCTTAGGTCACGTTTTGGTCAAGGTCAGGTCAAGGTCAGGTCAAGGTCAGGTCAAATTAGGTCAAATTTCAAAGTTGATATTTTTGCATAAAATGGGTATTGATTCGATGCAGCTCGTCACGGGGAGTTCAATGGTGGTCTCCGTTTTGCGCTACGAGGTCTAGAATTGCTAAAAATTGAGTTCGAAAATTTGACGTCATCAATTTTTAACAGTTTTTTCGCTATAACTTGGCCAAAAAAAGAGGTATCGATCTAAAATTTGGTATGTATATCGAAGAGCGCAGGGACTATCACATATATTCCGGTTTTTTCGAAATTCGAAATTTTTTTGGAAATTTTTTGAGTTTTTCTAAAAAAATCATTTTTTTTATTTTTGGGGGTCAAAATCCCAAAGTGTCGAAAATCCGAGATAGCAGTTTTGTAGCGCCGTCTTTTTTCTACACAACCACATAAAGAACTTTAAAATTGCTTGTTAACTGTAGAATTGGTGAGCGTTTCAAGATGTCATGTTTTTTGCTCATTTTTGCTCGAACATGACCTCAGTTTGACCTCAATAACTCCTGACCTAAGGTGACCTGTGACTTGAAATTTTGTGTGAAGGTGTCAAATTGATGCCCGGTAAGGTACCCAAAATTTGGCGGCGCTGCGCGCCGCCGTTTTCTCGCTATTTAAGAAAAACCACAGGGGGGGGCCAAAATGGCCCCCCCCATCAGGGCGCGGGTTAATAGCTGGGCGTGGTTTTTTTTAGCCTCGTGACGATCGAATAATTGCCAGGGCCCCATACACTTATATGGGGGCCCATTGGTTGTTTGAGGGGGGGGGGGCAAATGATATGATGGCCCCCTTTGTTGACCTTTGGGGGCATGGCCCTGATGCCCCCCCCCCCGGCCCCCGCGACCGCCACTGTGTACACATTACACACATGCCTCTGAGATTACATACTAGCTCATGCAAACTCAACTCTATGCAGGCCCCGGAGGTCCCACGCTAATTTAAGAAACCAAGCCGGCGTACGGCGTCACCACCGGGCTTCTGAGGTGCACAGCACCAACCCATGAGGTCTTACTTTAGTGTCTTGGAGCCAATCTCCTTTAGCAGGGCCCACCCGCCACTGCCGAAGAGG